GCTTAATGAGTCTCATTTCATTTGTGAGGTGGATCTGCCTCAGGGAGACTAAGATGTTGGTAATGGAAGCTTCCTTGTTGTTAAAATGCTGCTGATACCGGCATTCAATCCGAAGCTTCTTTTCCGGTATTTTTCAACTTGTAAGGAAAACCTGCTGAGCAACAAATAGCTTTAAATACAGCTTATTAGTCCCACTCATCTGCCCTGCGCCTGGAAGGGATGGTGCAGGGGGAGCAAACCAACTTTGAGAAGCAAGGAACAGATGTGGGAGATGAGAGGCATGGGGAAGGAGGACCTGAAATTCATCTTCCTCCAGCTCCTGGTCTTCATGGCTTCACAAGCTGGAGCAACTTCGGCCATGTCCTGAACAGCGATTCAGTTCTCTGGCCTGAGCCACCGTAGCTGTCTTCAGTGATGCTTAGGATACGAAGGTAAGGACATGAGTCCTTGTATAAGCAACCCAGAGGGACCCCGACCCTCCAAAGGTGGTGGGATCAGAGGTTCTGGTCTGAAGCCGTTTTGAGTTTTGCATCCTTGGCCATTTTCCAGGGCAGGGTGTCATTCTGTTGTTATCTAATATTGACTCTTTCCAAATTTATTAGTCAAAAATCTAACACTGCTATTTATCCAACATCTTTGTGAACCAGCATGGCAGCAAAATTATGCTGGATGACTCATGGTTTTTAAATCATGAGTCTTTTAGATATACAAAAAAAGAATAAAACACACCGTTCTCTGATACCATCTGTTTGATTTGGTGCAGTTGACCTTGGAGCTGTTCTCAACAAAGGGAACAGGAAAGTTTTTTGTTTTTTATTGGCCCCTTTAAGAACAAAAGCCAAGCAGTTCCTTAATCTTTTCCAAATTAGGGCTCCAAGGAGCTGACCTGTCTTCTCCGTGTCTGGGGGGGGGATTGAGTAGTACCATGTGAGATGGTTCAGATGAGCTAGGACCCAGCAGGGGAAAATACTGTCCTTGTACTTTTATCTTTTCCTCCCAGTCTAGTCATAAAAACTTGATGCTCTCTGGACATATAAGGCTGGAAGACACAGGGGGCTGTGAAAAGAAAGGCCAAGAGGGAGGAGACTTTAATTCCAATAGTCTGTGTGAAGCTCATGGTGTTCTTCCTGTCAGAAAGACCTTCCATGCTGTAACTGCAGCAAAGAGATCCAGTATATCAAGTTTCCTATGGATAGGGAACATAGAAAAAGAGTCTGCTATTTTGGGATGAGTGAAATGTGAGCGAAGGATGATGCTTAGACCATCTCTGGAACTGGCACATGGATTCCTCTTCAAATTCTACATGGGAACGAGAGAAGGGAAATTCGCATATAATTCAGTCAGTCACAGAGAATATAATTTTGACATTAATTTTGAATATAAGAGACGAGTTCTTTTAAAGCCCAAAGATTTAGCTCTTCTTTTTGTGTCTGCAGAACCTATCCCCCCACTTATGCTTAAAACTAAGTGGGATGCTTGGTTTTTGTCAACTTGACACAAACTAGAGTCATCTGGAAAGAAGGAGCCTTCATGGAGGAATTGCCTCCATCAAGGTGACCTGTAGACATGTCTGTGCCATTTTCTTGGTTAGTGGTTGTTGCGGAGGACCAAGGCCACTGTGGGCGGTGCTGTCCCAGCACAGGTGATCCTGGGTTCTGTGACAAGGCAAGCCAGTGGCTCTGTTCTTCCGTGGTCTCCCCTCTGTCCCTGCCTTGGGCTCCTGCCCAGACTTCCCTCAACGATGGACTTTAATCTCTAAGATGTCATAAAGACTTTTCTCCAGAGTTTGCTTTTGGTCTTGGTATTTTACTGTGACAACAGAAAGCAATCTTGCACCATAAATAATGAACTCCTTTATGCTGTCTGGCTCACCTTACTCACAGGTGTCCTGCATGAGTTTGTGTTATGCTAATGAAAGAAGGAAACCTACCATCTCCTTCATATTGTCATAGTTTTATCATTTGCTTTAGTTTGTAGGGGAAATCATGAAGTATATCCCTAACATTTGATCTACTGGAGAAAAGAGTGTGGAAGAAGAACATTTGGCTCACTTGATTCCATGTCAATGAGTTACCTTTGCTTTTGCCATATGACTCTTACTTCTAGTGTGTGTTTGGATCTCCACTCTATCTTCATTCTTTCTTTGAGGAAGTCGTACCTTTGTTATAGCATCATGACTAGGGCACAGTGACATTGCACATGCATCTGTAACAGCCTTGCAGTTTCAGCTTCTAACCCCTATGAAATGAGGCCGTGGCTGAGGTCTGAGAGAGGCACCTGCTGGGGTAGGATCACAGAAGACATCCCCAGGGAATGAAAGGCAGGCAACAGGCAGCTGTGTCCTTGGAGACTTTTTAAAGATGCATTTGAGGTGTCGTCAAGATTTAGAATAGCAGCTAGCAATGTCTGAGTTCTTCCTGCACATCCTGCCTCATTTTTACTTCCTTTAATTTTCAATGCTGCAATGAGTATGGCATGGTTTATTGTTAAAACAAAATGGAGTGAGATTTGTAAGCAAGGAATAGTATCTTGAATTCTCCATCCTTCCTCTATTGTTAGAGGATACTAAAGCTGTTTTTTTTTCCTTTTCTTTTTTCTTTTTTTTTTTTTAAAGAAGAAAGTAGAGCAGATTCTGACATTTACATGTAGAGTTTCCATTTTTCTCTTTATTTGGTGGAGCTTGGAGTTCATCAATCCAAAGTATAAATATAACACGCAACAGTTCACCAGCCTTAAACTTTTAGTGGGATTTAAGGGAATCCAAGATAATTTTAGCTATGCCAGAAGTTTACTTTAGGTATTGACTTTATTTCTTACCCTCAATTAACTAGAGGCTCCATTTTTTATCCTAAATAAGAAACCCCAAATTTAAAATTAAAAGTAAGATCCCAGAAAAGGTGCTTGTTCCTCAGTGATGCTTCAGTGAGCTCTAGAAAGACCCAGAAAGCCGTAAAAAAAATCTTTGCTAGCGTCAGCATATCGCTGCATTTTGCTTTGTTTCCAACTGCAAGAGAAAAGTGGTCAAGTAAGAAAGGATTCCTGGTATCCGAGTTTCTTTCAAAGGCTTCAGTGGCTAGAGAAAGCAAACCTGGAAGTGTGAGGCCATCGGAGGGAGAAGAAAAATCTCAACATAGAAAAGCACTTGAGAGATTGCTATAGTTTCCCATTTTGTCCAGGTTGAATTTGACTGTTCACGTCCTTCCCTAAGACAATAAGCTGAACTCAGGGGCTCATGCTCCATACACCCCAAGTCCACTGCTGAAGCCTTCAAACTGTCTTCTATGAGAATGAACTCAGCCACACTTCTCTGCTGCCCTCAGGTCTCCACTAGTCCACCGGCTCTTGTCTCTGATAGTCTGGGATCCTCCCTGACAGTCTTCTGTGGGGAATTCCAACCCCATTCTTGTGGGCCCCTGCCAAGCCCAGTGGCTTCCTGCTTAGCAATCCAGAAAGGCTCGACTTCAAGGTTTCCACAGGACTAACTGGTGTTCTATGGCACTGTGCTCCTTTGGGGATAGAACTGTTCTTTGGAGTGGTAGGGAGCATTCTGCAAGGTGGTTTCCCCAATAGCACCAAAGGGAAGAATTCTCTTGATGATCAGCTTTTCTTTGACTCAGTTTACTCATCTTCCCTCTAGGCCAAAGGTCAGAAATGGGCTGTCAGGAGACCTACAAAGATTATACTCTACTTTATCTCTTTTAAAATTACAATCTTCCTTTATTATCCTTGTTATCTTGTATATATTTTCATTCTATTTACATTACTTCTGGATTGTTTGCATAGTGTGCTGGGGTTGGGGGCGAGTGAGATATAAACATGAATGCAAGTGTCTGTAGAGTTCAGAAGAGGATGTAAGATTCCCTAGGACTGGAGTTACGGGAGGTTGTAAACCACCCAGCGTAGATTCTGGGAATGAAACTCAGGTCTTCTGCAAGAACAGTATGCACTCCTAACTGCTAAGACATCCCTCCAGCCCAATGCTCTGTATCTTAATGTCATCTAAGCCTCAACAGCCAATGAACAGCTCTTTTATATTCCATGTTAATTTGGTAAACTTCATCTACTATGTTGGACAGTTCTGCCAATGGAGATAGAAAATGAAGGAGTTTACAAATCTTATTTTAAGACAATACCTTGAGCAGAGGTGGCTGGAGAGATGGCTTGGTTAGGAGCATTGGCTGCTCTTGCAGAGGACTGGGATTCAGTTCCTAGCACCCACATGGTACCTCCAGGGCTATCTGTACAACCATCGATAGCACCAGTTCAGGGGAGCCCCACACCCTCTTCTAGCCCCCACAGGCACCAGGCATGCAAGTGGTATACAGATGTGCGTGCAAGCACACACATAAAGAAAAAAATTTAGATAATGCCTTGATTTGAAAGGTCTATCCTTTTTCCTGCATAATTTTTTTTAGTATATCAGAAACTCTGACTTTGCTCTCAGCCTTTGCACTGTTCCAGAATTGAATAATAATCACCTCTTGTGATGCCTTGGATGGAATGGGCCAAGGTCATATTTTAAAAGGTCAGGGGGAAAACCAGAGTGGTACTTTCCTGAGTGTCTCTCTAGTACTTCAGGTTCAATGTATAGCTCATTAGGAAGTTTCCCTTTAAGATTTATTACAGAGATATTTGGGTCATGAAAGTCTACTACATTTCTAATAGCTCATCCATTATGTGTGTACAGTATAAAATACACAAGATCTCAGTCTGACTCTCCGAATTTCATGCTAGTGTCTATCTGTGTCATACAGGTATCTTCTCGATGTAAGTTATTTCAGGACTTTTATGGTGTTGATGTTTATTTATGTTGAACTCAGCTGTAAGTTTCCCTAAGTGGGGACTGCACAGCTGCTTTCCAGAACTAAAACATTTTCTGTTGCTGTGTTCAAACTACTAAGTTCAATGGTCTGCTTTAATCGCCGGTGTTTCGTGTACACATTGATGTAGAGTTTTAAACTAGAAAAGCAGAAAATGAAAGTATGTTTTTTTTTTGGCAGGCATTTGATGTACTTGGAAAAGTCGAAGCTTACCTTAAGCTCCTTAAATCAGAGGGTTTAAGCCTGCCTGTCTTGGCAGCGAGGCATGAGGAATTACACAGAGAAATTAAAGACTCCGCAGCCGATGCTCTGCAAAAGGGACAGGCCTTAATCAGCCAAGTAGACTCCTGCGGGTGAGTGAAGTCTGCTTTATCCCCAGTGTAACAAGGTTTTTCACAGTTTCCACAACCTGGTAAAAATAAGTTGCACAGGGTTCCCCCCCCCCCTGCTTTTAATGTTTGGCTGCATTATGATGTGGCTTAAAAGGTTCTATTGAATTATGCTCTGCAGTGATTCTGAACACAACATTGCTGGCCCTGAAGTGAGGCCACTGGTCAGAGCATGAGGACTTAAAGATGCTAAAGCTTTGTCCCTGTGTGCCTGGGGGGTAGCGGGGGGGGGGGGGGGGCCCGGCAGGGGGGGTGAGATGCACAAAACAGGGAGGAGTTTTTCAGGCCAAGCTTTCCCCATCCTGCTTCTCCTGTCTCCCTCGGTTCATGAGCCTCTCTATTGCCCCATTTTCCCTTTCTAGAAAAACAAAACAAAACACAGCACAACACTACCAGAATTCCCACTTCCTTTTTACCTGGCTATTGCACTGAACAAAACCGCAAATAAAAGGTAACTATTAATAACAAAAGCTCACATTTAGTGAGAGCCTGTTGTGTGCCAGGCACTGGGCCAAGGGCTTTAGGGACATTATCTCATTAATCCACACAGTGACTCTATGAAACACACACGAAGAATGTTTGCCTTCCCCAGACAAGGTAACTGTGATACAGAGAGCTTAAGTGACTGGAAAGTGGGATCACAGAGCTGGTTTGGGACAGAGGTAGCTTTTGAATCCAAGTGTACAGGCTCCTGTTTCCATGCTCTTGAGCAATGTGCCAGGATCATTTCCATGAGCATGTTCAGTGGGTGCATCGGGGTGAGCTGAGAATTGGCTGGGCATGAGTGGGGAAGGGGGCAATGGGAAAGAGAAGGAGAATGCATGTGGAAAGTGTGGGGATTTGACGGCAGTTCCTGGAGCAGATATCAGCCAGGAAGATAGCATTTACATTTAATCAGCAGCACTTTCGTTTTTAACAGAAAGAGATAAAATAGATTTGCCCAAGGAGGTTAAACCCCAGTTCTCATTTTCTGTAGCTGTAATTTCCTTGAAACGCACAAACACAATTTGAGGAACGAGGTAGGTGGGATGTGGTAAACATGGTTTCATTTCCTTTTCGCCCCGTTTCGCTCTTTTGGATGTGTTTTAAAGTGTGCCCATGGATGTCTAGGCATGGGGAATTTTCTTTCCAGAAAACAGGCTGAACTGGACAGAGAGAGACATTTGATTCAGGCATTTAGATGGTTGCCATGGGACCATGCAAAACTGAGATTAGAAATAATCCAAGGTCTCCCAGAAAGAGCCAAAAACTGGAGGCCATGGCAAGGGCAAACACTTCTCCCCTGTGGAACAACTACCAACAACAACTGGAACTGCTTGGTCTCTTGACTTAGGTGTTGAGCCAGATGCCAGATAAAGCTGTTTTCCACTCGACTAGAGGGCCCCGGGCACACCCCGTGTGGGCCCATGTGCCTACAGCAGCTGTTTCCTCCCGTTTCCTCCCTTCCCCTCCCGATCCACGTCTACTCCTTGCAAATGCCTTGAGCTGTGCAGAAGACTGTCTATAAGATACAAGAGACACTTGTTGGATGTTGGCCTTGTCAGATGTAAGTGGTGAGGCCTGTTATCGTCATTAGGTCTCACAGCCTTGGCCAATGTTATTTTCCTGGTCAGGCTAACTGCTTGTGTTGTTCTGTCTGGCCACAGGGAGCTTCCCCATGTGTGTACAAATGAGAATGCAGCCTCAGACACCCTCCCTGATTTCTGGGGTTCTGGTTCAGGTTGTTCCTTCCTACCTGGTGCTCTGTCCCACAGATCCTGGGTGTTGGCTTTTCTGAAGTCTGGCCCTGACTTCTTACGTCAGCTGGTGCCATCACAACCCTTGTGTTCCTGCCTCCCTTCTCCGGGTCACACCTTTGTCTTCTCTTGGTCACCTAAGGCCCAACAGGAAGTTCAACTCCTGCTTCTCACCCAGAAACTGAGGGTTTTTTTTGTTGTTGTTGTTGTTGTTTTTGTTTTTTGCTTTTTTGTTTTTTGGTTCAGTTTGATGCTTCACTTGTAAATTCAGAAAGGTGGTCAGAAGTTTATACTTGTAAACTTTATCCTGTTGGCTCCAGTCTGAAGTACTTTGATTTTGGTACCTAAAGTTTTGATTGATGTGCTTTGATTTCATCTTCCTCCTCCCCCTCCTCCTCCCTCTTCTCCTCCCCTTCCGTTTTGGCTCATCCTTCTTGTATGGCTTGCATATTCATTTACTCATCAAGTCCAATTCTTTTCTCTCCATTGCTCTTTCTACTCTTAATTTTTATACTCACCCCATTTTCCAAAGAGGAGTTTATCATTTTGTCTTTTCAGGAGGCAGTTGGGGTCTTAATAGAAAAAGGCAGTAATTAGAACCATGGCAAGAAAATTAAATTAATGGCTACCTAACTAGATTTTTTAAAAAATTAGAGTTTGTTTCTGTTAGCATCTCAAAAGTATAAGCTTGCTTCATAATAGTACCAGGATGTTTGCTTGCCCCATTAATTTTACAAATCAATGTCACTTCCATTTTCAAAGGGAACTGAAAGTAAAGGGAAATTGTTTCTTGGTGAGGAATATTTTTGATTTCAGAAAGTAGATGCAAAATAGAAATCCATTAAAAACCAAATTACAAACACATTAGAACCTCACTTGCAAGCCAGAGGATAGTGTGGCTGCTGACCTCCATCCCACACATTCTATCCATCTTGCTCCCCTTTCTTCACCTGATCCATCTCCAAATACTCAGGTTCCCATCAAAGGAAAGAGGGAACTTGCCCACCACAGCCGCTCTGCAGGGAAGGCTGAGTTTGGAATGGTGGCAGGGACGACAGACATTTGAACATGTCGAAGTGTCTATATGGAGTATCACAGCGGCTTCCGAAACCGTGAGATGCCAGCTGCACCACCAGGTCACAAAGCACCACAGTTCCAAAATGTCATGGATCAGAAACTTGAGACTCAAGGAAGTTTGACTGTGTGTGTTGAGAGCCAGAATAGTGCTGTGACTTCCAAGCCCAACTCTGATTCTCTGTCCTCCATAAAATGGAAATTCCCATTTAATATTTGTAATTAAATAATACAACCCCATTCCTTGCACATGGAAAGTACCCACTACATAGTAACTTTAGGTTTAAAAACATGTACGAAGAGCCATGTGGTTGTTTCAAAAGATTGCAGCAGGGTGAGACATTCCAAACAGTGGTGCTCATTTCAGTTAAACAGGAAGGAGGTCATGGTTGAATTGGAGGAGCTAAGTATTTCTCTTCTGATAACAAAGGCAGGATTTAGAATTGAAATATTAGCAGGTGGGACTTTCAGTGGCCCTATTATTTAACTTTTTACTGTTAATAATAGAAAAAAAAACAAACTCAGAAGTTTACATTTGAATGAAATGAGGATATGGTTGAGGAGAAAGTTTTTATTGTAGATACATGAGCGAGAACAGCCAGAGGCATCTGGAAGAGTCCAGAGCAGAAAAGCAGTAGACTGAACATGATCAGTATTCTGAACTGGACCATGAGAGGAGAGAAAAGGAGGAGAGTGAGAGAGGAGGAGAGGGGAAGCAAAGGGGATGGGGGAGGAGTACATGTGGCTGAAGTGGCGGGTCATATAGGACTCAGAAGCTGGAAGGGAAGCCCGGGAGCTGGAAGGGTAGGGAGCAGGTGAGAGGAGCCGAGAGGAGCCGTGGCTACTGAGTGAGTCTGGAGGCCAGCATGGACTTTAGTACACTAACAGATACCTCTGTTGGCCATTCATCCTGAGTTTCTTTTGGACCTGGCAATATTTATCTGAAATAAAGCGTTCTGGGTAAACTGAGACGTTTGTCATTGTTCTTCTGTAAAGAATGAGGAACAGATTCATACTGTTTTTTCATCCTGGAATCAAATAGGTTTAAACTCCAAGCAGCCTCACAGAATGAATAGTGGTAATGGTCACATTTCCTCGCTTCTTCTAAATCTAACCAATAGTCTAATGATAATTCTGATCATTGAGTGGCTTTTATCTCTTCAGATGGTAACATCTGTCACATGAGCGAGGCACATTGTATTATGATATTTTCATGCATTCCTTTGCACGAAGTTATGATACAAGTTACCTATAATAGCATGTGATAAATAGCCAAATTTAGACTCACAGCCAGGCCAAAAGCCCTTGGCTTCTGGTCCCCTTCATCTCCTCCTAGGCTTTAATTGACATCATTCTTAACCAAAGGTGGCCTGCTACCACACACTATTTGGTATTAAGCCACAAGAAGCTTGGGTGTTTGAAAGTGCTTGATCTGAAGTTTAAGTGACAGTGATGTCTAAAAGCAAAAGGATCTCTATCTCTTTCTCTAAGTGCAGCTCCAACTTCAGAGCTTAAAACATAAAGCACACAGCAGGACCAGGCTACCTTCTGAAATATTCATTTGCCTTTCCTCCTTGTTAAAATTTCATTTAGGAGTTATATGTGAGCTTCTATTAGCTCAGTTTCTATCCCTGCTTGAAAGAAGGTACCATTTTTGTTCTATCTTATCGTGGTTAAACATATTAGCTGAATATTTTGCATCTGTGTAACTTTATTATCTGCTCCAATCCAGTGCATGTGACTTCCTTCCTATAAATCCTTTGTTCTTCGTATTTGCCAGAATGGGAGGAAAGTAAGAGTTAATCAGGATTATGCTTATTCTTCCCACAGTTTTCATTTCCATTGACTACCACTGCCTCAGTTGGTACTACAGATGTTAATGAACTTCGGGCAGAATTTATCCCTTTCATTCACTTGTTCATTCCCGAACCATGTTCAGTGTTTTGTTAGTCAGGTGATCTAATGTCATGCTGTTTGTATTCTGGTGGGAAGAGCCACTCAACAAATCAGTCTCTAAGTGAGATGTCCCTTTGCAGCAGGAGGTACTGTGTGGAATGTGATACAGAGGGACTGTGTCGCAGGGACTGTTTCAGGCTCTGGGGTCAAGGGAGGACTGGCTAAGAAGAGCTCCCATGATTCCCTGGGAGGTAAGTG